AATACTTCTTAAGTACAGTCCTTTTATTTTAATGATTATGTCCTGCTGGAGTGTGACATGATTTGTTTGTGTACAAACTAATACTGTCTAATTTTATATTTTTTCTTCTCATTAAACCACTAAATTAATTTCACTCTATCTAGGAGGCACAATTTATATGGATAGTATTATTTTTTTTAATAACAAGCTGGAACGAAAACAAGCAAAATTAAATAAAAGCAACAACTTTCTACTTCTTGTCTTTTTAAAAAATGTAGTGAGTTAAAAGTACAGACAATTGTGTAAAAATGTAAGGAGTAGAAGTAAAAAGTAGGCTGAAAAAATAATTACTCAAATAAAGTACAGATACCCAAAAAATCTACTTAAGTACAGTAACAAAGTATTTGTACTTAGTTACTTTACAACTCTGAGCATTTGATTTTCTTTTTTATTTCTTAACAATTTACCTGCTGGAGCTATGGGAGCAGCCCCTCGGTGCCGATAAGAGGGCTGCCCAGAAGCCAAGTACAGAGACAGAGCTTCCTGCAGCAGCTGCCTGTCGCGCTCCTCTTCTCTCGGACCAGGCTGGTACCTGGAGGAGGGGCGGGCATATCCACCTCCAGCGTTCAGAAGTGATCTCTCTGCATCATCCTGGTATCTGTGCTGTGACTGATATGCATTACACATTATTATTATAGTCTATGCAGAATGAAGCTTGATTGTTGTATCTGTTCAGGTTTATTTTAAATTTAGCTGCAGTGGCACTAGTAATCCTGGTCCTCGAGGGCCACTGTCCTGCAGGTTTTCCTTGTTGTCCTGTTCCAGCACACCAGATTCAGTGATTGAATTACCGCTTTATGTTCTGCAGAAGCCTGTTAATCATCCAGCCATTCAAATTAGGTGTGTTGGAGCAGAGAAACAAGTAAAACATGCAGGGTAACGGCCCTCAACGATCAGGCTTGCCTATCCCTGCTAGAGGTTGATGACAAAAAGATTTATGGCTACAATTCTGAACAGGTGATTTTTTTTAGCTGAGGTTTGCTCATTTTATCATTTGTGGATGAAGCTAAAGCTTTGTCAAACATTTTCCTCAGCTTCTGCACAGTTAAAGAATGAGTGTGTGCCTACCTGGTGATATGCATATGGATCAATAGAAGCCGTCTGCATGCGTAGCGGGGACTGAGGAGGCTCAACGATCATGTAGTCCATATATTTTCCTCCAGGAGTTGTGGACCCTGCCTTAAAGCTGGAGTGGTGGGGGATGTGCTGCTTGGACCTGCAACCCGATCGGAAACAGAGGCAGGATTATGAAAACTTGATTGTTTCAGTTAAATCAGCGTTGCTTTCTACATGTGCGAGTAAAAAATGCTCACAGAGAGGAATGAGGAGACATTGAAGACGAGTTGGGTTTTGATGGAAGGGTGGTGTGGGGAACTCTCTTCAGTTCTTTTGATAAGATGTATTGAGTGATGTCATCTTGCCACGACAATCCTGTACACGATATAAACAAAGTAAAAACATAAAGACTGAGAATCAGTGTAAAAAAGAAGAAAACAGTGTCTGCATGGCAAGCACTTTATTTAAATATTCATATTTATTCACACCAGCGTGCTTATGAACATTACAACCAAAAGCCCCTAGCTTATATGTTAATTTATGTAGCAATGCAAAACTAAATCAAACTTCTTGATATATTTTGTTACCTTGTTGCATGAGCTGTTTGAGGACTTCCTGCATCCTCTTCAGCACAGGAACTGTCACCTGATACTGGACCTGGTGCTGCTTGGAGCTTCGACACTGTCCGAACAACCCATCTGATATAAACAAAGAAATGCAGTATATATCAAAACAAGAGGAAATCCCTCAAATTATCATGTGGAAATGAAAAAAAAGATAAATACAGTTGTGTAGAATAAGTCAGAGCATCTTAAAGCTTTTTTTTTACATCTGTAGTAAAGTGAATTATTCCACAAAACACGATCACCTACAGCTGAGAGTTCAGATCTTAGAGCATTTAAAAACATTTGGTTGTTTGTTCTCAGTGTTCTAGATGACGAATGGTGTTGTAAAGATCCCAGAGATAAGATGGAGCCAGACAAATAAGAGTCTTGTACCAGACAGGAAGTCACTGAAGTGAAGCCAACATTGTGTGTGCTCAAGTTATTATTATTATTTCTGGCTCCTGAGAAAAGTCAAGCAGCAGCGTTTTGCACCATCTGCAGACGACGGAGAGAGGAATGATCTGTGCTCTTGTACATGGAGCTGCAATATGTTGTGTTAAATTCACAAATTGCATTTTTAGGATCTCTGAAACAGAAGCAGGGCTGTGCCTCAGCTAAGAGACCTAACTGAAAAAAGTCTGATTTGACAACTGAATCGACCTGCTGGTCAAACTTGAAAGAGCTGTCAAAGATTACACTTATTTGAGTGACACTTTTTTTTCCTAAAATCTGACAGTTTATAGGCAGTAAGTGATTCTGTCATGGTTTGYTTTTCGCACATGGGACAGTGAGACAAAGCAGGTATGCTAATAAGAAAGACCTGATTAGTTTTGTTCGAAGGAACTGCTTTGTTTTCACACTGATCACAAGCCAGGTAATAAAAGGAAAGAAAGATGATTTTCATACAATACATACCATCAAAAAGCTGTTTAAATGTGAGCATGTTTAAACCGGCCTCTTAAAGCCGAATTTGAACATTGTATTTAATATTTTTAGCTGATCTTTGATCCAAAACTAGTGCTGTAGTGTATGTTGCTTAGAGGCGCAGGACTTTCTCATGACATAAATCCATACAGTAGCCCACACCACACCATCCTACAGTGAGTCATAACTCTGACGTACAGCTCTCAGAGATTTAATGCTWGTCGCCATGCTGCTGACAAGTTTCTGTCCCTGAAGGCTCATTTCTGTGATTTGAAAATG